TTATAGTATATATGACTTGCCATATACACTATTGTATCGCTTTGGTTAAAAATAAAATACAAATACAAATACTATTTGCAATTTTATATCAACAGTATTTCCGACAATATCAAAACATGAACATTTCAAGATAAATTCAGAAAATTTAGCGTCAAAATGACTTACCTGTCGCCCTCGAATTTCGAAGCATTTATCGGCACACAACTTACTAGGTACCTACCTCGGAAGAGGTTGATTTCGTTATTTCTTTCCTGTACAAGAAATTTTAGTATGCACTCTGGAATAAATGCACACACATATTTTTAGTAATTGTAGTTTTTATTTCCCGAAATCCCGTACCATCATCTAGAATAGATTTGGCTGCGAGTACGCCTCACTAATTTTTCGTTCGTTCAGTGGTGTCGCATTTAAAAGGACAATTTGGGATATGTGCAAACAGATCAACAAAAGATTTCCCCATATTATATGATGAGCTCTTCTATCAAACAACTACCAATTCGACAGGTGGGCGAGTTGGGCAGTCGTTAAAGGCATTCAGCCCACCCCCCAAAAAAAATTATATCCGCAAGGTGGCAGTACAATGACGATATTCATGATTAAATCGAACGCCGGGCCCACTGGGCTCTGAAGACGCCTACCCATCGCCGTGTGATTACACAACGTTGCCAGAACGGCGCACCGGCCTAGTCATCCTGCCGGCGCCAGGCTATATGGGATTTTGGTAAATTGTCACCGTTTCATACAACTACCTGTCAACTGACAGCCTGTCAGTTCGCCAGTCTTGGAAATGTTATATTCTAGAATAAAGCACTAGTAAGAATGAGGTAGCACCTGACCTTTCAGTCCATTTAAAAAATGTTCCAAAATTATTGCACCCATGAATTTCAGCTAGCTAACGTGACCCGTTCAAACAAAAAGTAGAGAGACCATTGAAAAGCACTGTATGTATATAAGCTACTTTGAAAAAACAGACATCATAGGTAGTATAAGTTTATTCACATATATACAGTTTCAGTGGACCCAACAATCCAAATGCATACATATAGACAAATAAACTTCAAAATCCCACTTAAGTATATATACCTGCTAGATACAGATATGAGCATCCCTACTAATATTATAAATGTGTGTATGTTTGTGTGTTTGTATGTTCCGTTTTCACGCCAAAACGGCTGAACCAATTCCGATGCATTTTGGAACAGATATAGATCAGACCTTGGAGACGAAGGGGTTGAAATGGGGGTAAATGTGACCATGTGCAAATTTTAGTTCGTGATATATATATTGGTTTTTATATATGAGCAGCAGACTTTCTAATCGCACTTTGTCCATATTTTAACATGTTTGCCCAAAGGTGGCGTTCGATTCATGGCACTGCTTACTACAAGATTCTAAACTGAAAAACATTCGAATCGCACTATTTTCAGTAGGTATTTGACTTCAAAAGTATCCTAGACAAGCTAAACGCACTTAGTCCGATGGCAAGAGACAATCAAATAGCAATATAACGGACAATGTGCGATTTGTCTGTCTGTCAATGCTGTAGTACAACGGTATTAGCTGTCAAATGAGAGTGCTGTTAAGTAGTGATAGCGCAAAAGATATTATTCTATGAATAAATTAGAACAACATGAGTGATGGAGAGCATGTGGTTGGCGATGTTGATCGAGTTGCCAGGGGGAGGAACATGAATGCTACCTCAAACGGTATTAAAGGTTCACTTAAAAAAATGCAGGAACTTCCGAGGCCAAAAGAACAATCATAAAAAGACAAACATCTAATAGTGGTGAAGGTGAAATCTTGTATAAGACCGAACTATTATACAGAAATGATGATCCCTCAAAAAAGTTTATCTACATTTTTAGTAAGTTTATCAGGCCAAGACTGGGTAAGAGATCCAGAGATAACCTGGCTTGACCCAATCTTAAAAGATCTGTATCGGGAACATGGTGATAATGGAAGAAAGGCGCAGAGCTGTGCCCACGGTGAAGATGACGAAGAATGTTGCTACCTGGCGGAAGACGACTTACATGTAATATAATTGGAATAGAACTGTTTGCTTTAGAATTTTAAGTTTGAAATCATTTTTCATTTATGGACAAACAGACTGGCTTATGTCCATTGTGGACATTCAAAGAGCCCTTTGTCCATTAATTTTTTTCATTTTTCTTAGTAAGCTATTAATATTTGCTGAGCCTTGTTACTATAGCAAACTGTTGATAATAAAATACGTTTTGTCATGTGTTACTCGTTTTTCGAATGTTAGCAATAAGCTTACAGCAATTTTTCCCCTTTCCTGTAAAAAGTCCAAAATGGACAATGTGCGATTAGAAAGTCTGCTCCTCATATATTTGGTTCATACATATAAATTAAATGAGCACTCACAAAGCAATTTTGGAAATTCCACCCCCAAGCAAGGGTTGAAGCGAGGTGACGCCCTTTGTACTGAGAAACCTAAGCTATTTCAAATAGCCCAGAAGTAGGGGGTATCTTTTGTTTATAATTTTATCTATAAAATAAACTGGCATTAACAAAGGCTTCCATAAATGATATCCTCCAGATGGGGTAGGGAGGGGGGTGAATATTTCTTATCAGCTTTTTGATTTCTTGTCACCGTTTTGATAAATTTATCTCGAGAACTAAGACATACATATGTATATAATATATATTTTCAAAGAATTTCAAAATTTCAGAATTTTAAAATTTTTTAGAATCTTCAAAATTTAAAAAATTTGTAAGATTCTCAAAATTTTACTAATTTAAAGCCTCAAAATTTTAAAAATCTTCATGATTTTCGAAAGTTTAGAAATTTTCAAAATTTATCAAGCTTCAAAATCATCAAAATTCTAGAAATTTTCCAAATTTTTTCGATTTATAAAATGTTCTAAATTATTATGATCTTCAAAATATTGAAAAATTTTGAAACCTTCAAAATCTTGAAAATTTTCGAAATATTCGAAATCTACAAGATTTTCAAATTTTTCAGAATTTATGTTGAATTTTCACACTATGCAATTTTGAAAATTTTCGAAATTTTCTAAATATTTCGAATTTTCAAAATTTATAAAATCCTGAATATTTTCAAATTTACAGAATTTCTATATTTTTCAATAAATTCATAATCTTCTAAATTCTCGGAATTTCCACAATTAATAAAATATTCACAACTTATAAAATATTCACAATTGTCAAATTTCACAATTTTTAAAATCTTAATAATATTAAAAAATTTAAGAATGATTGGAACTTTTAAAATTTACAAAATATTAGAAATTTATTGACGAAATGTATATTCGATCTGAGCATGAGCTTTGAAGTAAAGGTGGACATAACAATGACAATAATAAAATACAAATCAACTATAATGTACTAACTACCGGTTGTTTTGTACCTTTTTATTTATTTGAATCGGTTTGCTTGTACTTTCTCGTGCATACCGCGAGGAATTCTGCCGTCTAAGATTTCGGGCAAAATACACACTTTATAAAAAGATGTTAATTTGGGAACCATTACCTCACACCATACTTGTTCGTCCTTATGTATTCTCTCTACGTGGAAATCTGAATCGCAATAGAGAATAAAATTGCAAAAGGTGCGTCCCGTAATATTCAGCTGCCCTTGAACCTGGTAATAATAATTATGGCTTCTTTTCAGGGATACATTGCCATTTTCTACCGAGTAGCATGAGGTTCTTTTCACGCCATGGATTAGAGATCCCATAATTGAAGGCAGACACTTTATCTCTATTAGGCCTTCCCTGCCGACGAGACCATCCGGTGAAGCTGCTAAAAAAGGATACTCGTGACTCACATAAAGTCCGCACGCTTCAACGGATGATCCCGTTTCCGTTTCATACCTATTCCTGGCTGTAACCTCATGTACCCTGCCATACACAATTGCTGGCGTTTTTGACTAAGTTGTGGCAGGGAGTAGACGCTCTTCTTTTAATTACACAGCCGAAATTTGATGCAGTCAAATATTCTTTGCGTAGACTCCTCCATAAAGTATTTTGATGCTGACTCCTTGTGGAGGTTTCTATTTCTTTAGTCTGCTCCCTTGACTCTACTCGCTTGGCTAGAGTCTGCAGAAACTTATCTTTCTTCTTTTCCATCTCGTCCTCGCTGATATCCTCGGCAGCTGCATTAGGACCGTAATGCACGTCCGGCCCACTAGAAGCTTGCTTTTTTGGTCTTTTCTTGCAGACTACTCTACTCCTTTCCAGCGCCTTTGCTCTTTTCAGACAGACTTTGGCCATGGTGGCTCCTATGGAGAAGTTCTTCTTCTCGAAAGCCCCCATGTGCCACCCTGGACCTCTGGAATGTGATATAGCTGCTGCGTAGGCTCTAGCTGTGTAGGAATTCCGTTTCGTGAAATTGACTCGCTTACCGTACATTTAGCAACTAGAGACATATATCTGCAAATTAAAAACACGGTTCATTAGTTTTTAATATATTTAACTCTTTTAAGTCAAGTTCCAGACTGGAACGCAGCAGCAATAAATCAGTGGCAGTGAATATTATGCTACTTTCTTCCAATTTGGCTACTGCACCGTGTTATTTATGAGATTTCTGGCAATTATTTCAGTTTCATTGATTGAGAATTGGTTATTTTGGATAAGTTTCAAAGACCTGAAAATGGCAGTTTCAGATAATATTCAATTCAACTTTTGAGTAGTGCATATCATTGTAAATTAATTCATCAAAAGATGAGCTGATATCAAGAAACGCGTATACCACCTTGTGGTTATCAAGGAGAAGTGATAAATGTGTAGCAAAAAGTATGAGATAAGCGTGATTTTTTTACCTTTCACCTTGATTTGTTGTTTGATTGTGTGCCAGTCAATCAGCTTTCGTCACGATGGGCTCCAGGATCTTTTTTAATTCAAAATGGAGTTTATCTCCCATAAATTACACCCAAGAAAAGAGGTTTCTTTGTCTCAGCACCAATAATAACAGCCTTAAATATTTATCATTAGTATAAGGTATGTGATCAGGAGGGATTTAACTTACTACACCAGAAGAGGCATTATATCCATGCCCGTAGGTCCTTTTACTCCATCCTCCGTTAGCGATAACGGTGATGTATGGGGTACCATCAGGCATGAGATTGCCTTTTTCAATTGCAACCCGTTTCTCTTCAATGCCAGCAGCTTTCATGTCATCGTTCAGAATTTCTTCCCATACCTTGAATCAGGAACAATTTTTACAAATACAAATTAGGACGCCATGTTGTCTGGCCAAACGCAATCACTTCATCTATTAGGTACCTAGTAGAATCACTATCATAGTGGTCAACACTTAGCTATTAAACTGAGTCATATATAGATAGGGTGAGTTTTGTATAATGAACTGTTTTAGTTATCATGCCTAATAATAACACAAATCTAGCCGCACATTTGTAGCTAAACAATTAAATTTGAGAAAAACTTTCAAAGTAGTGGGGCGCTAATTTTTATATTCAATAATTCCGATAGATTTGACTTACCTTCTTGACAGTTGATGTTTTCTTCCTGAAAGTTCGGGAAGTCATAGCTGGTACATTTAAAACACCCATTAACTCTTCGTATTGGCTGTGACCAATTCCTGTCGAAATACTCCCCCAAACTGGAGCTGTATTAACGGATTTCTTCGTAGTACAGGGTGGCTCAGATTCAATGACCATTCTTTTTTCGCAGTTGTCGCAAAAAAAGTGTAGCTTGACGAGATGTCCTATCCTTTTTTCCTCCACAAAATCCATTCTGCCCATTGTACAGGCTTTAGAGTGATTTAACACTTTTCCATACTCGAATAGCATATGACCTAAGTTCACTATTCTCCTGCGTTCTAGTTCCTCAGAAATATATATATATATATATATATATATATATAAAGTTTTCATCACCCGTAACTTCGAAATAATCCTCGTATTCGCTATCACATGATGGGTTAGTATCTTCATCCTTATTGTTGGCAGTAGAAGCAGGAGGAGGATAGCTGATGATTGTGGATGATGTAGATTCCTGGTCATTTTCATTTCTGCTCTGTTGCAGTAATCTGTAATAAGTCTATTGATACAGGGTAATTCCGAAAAATGTGGCAATATTTGAAAGTACAAACTACATGGAAAAATAAAACCTAGATAAAAGAATCCAGAAACGTGTCACTACAAGGTATATATTTTACGCCATTGATGAAGCTAAAGAAGGAAAAAACATCATCGTTCAAATAAAGCTATGGTAAGTTAGAATTACTCTACAAACACGCTACATCCAGTTTGGTTTGAGTCGTAAATAAATACTTCAATGAGATGTATAGGATGGTCTCATGACAGTCCACATTCCAAATTAACCGCAAGTAACTTAGGTTCATAATTAATTCAGACATATGCCTAAACCATGTATTTTGGTTCGAAATGCATAAACATAATTCGCTGTAAAATTTCCTTTTACTCTGCGAAAAGCGTGTGGACTCTTCCTTATTGCTGTTGCTGCTGCTCTGATTTTCAGACGCAAATCTTAAAAATACGAAATCGTTCGTAAATAAACAACAAACATTTAATTACTGCTTTCTTTTAACACGGGCAACTCAAATATACTATTTACCTTCCTTTTTGATCCGTCTTTATCTCCAGATTTTGGGAATTTCCAGGTACTAATCCTATAATTATTAGCAACAATGAGGAGTGAAGGAAAATTGCATGAAATATTACATACAGATAATGAAAAGAAGACGAAAATTTAATTTTTATTGTTCGTGTACTAGCCTCTTCAAGATTTGCACCAGAATATAAGAGCAGAAGCAACAGCAATAAGGCAAAATCCGCAGACTGAAAAGATTAGTTACGTAGACGTCGTTTGTGCATTTCGAACCATGACAGATGTTTTGAGCATATACTCACGACTTCAAATCAATTTCGTAATTCCTCAAAATGCATTTCAATTCTTTCTAAACAGTTGCGCCTGAAGTTCATGTTTAACAGTTTAGCTGCTCATATATCTCTCTGCTTTTGAAGTTCAGTTCAGTCACGTTGGTTTTTGGCATAGTATATTGCTAAACTCTAAAGTAGTTTTTAACGTGAAAGCAAAACTCTGCTTCTGGAATTTCCACGGATGCTATTTTTTATTTTTGAAAAAATAGCATAAACAATAATAAAATCTAGAATAACAGCAGATGAAATACAAATGCCGTGCCACGTATGTGTGGTTGCTACATTACTACTTAATATACCTGCCAAATTTAATTTGTTTCGAGTATATAGTTTTCATACAAATCGAATTTGTCAAACCCGAGTCAAGTCATTCGAACAAATGGAAAAAAATTGATTTTAGAGAAATTATTGCTTGACACACTGTATATTCTATAAAGCAACACTTACCTTGCTTTTAGAGCATTCTTTCGACGTAGACATCTCTTTCCTCCTCCTGTATGTCTCCTTGATAGCGGAGCACGGGCTTTAGGCATTTTAACAAAAACTAACTGCGAGAATAACGTTAGAACAAAACACCAATTAGCACCAAATACACTTAAAACAATGAAAATAATCACAGCTACAACACTTATGTACTCAAAGAATAAATCACACGCGTGGCAACACGGTAACTAGTCAGCATGGCGAACGACGCACCTGTCTTAAATAGGGCCAATAATCTTCCGCCGAGGGCGTGGTCAGCGGGAGGCGTGGTTTTGCCAAAATATTTGTCAAATTACATCTACAACTCAAAAACCGTTTGAGCAAATGAGTTGATTTTTTCTTTGATGGCTTGTTCTTTCAGTTCTTTATGTCTTTTATCCACATACTTTCAAAAAATCGTTTTCCTTCAAAAGAAAAATAAAATTTTTATGCGAAAAATAAATTATATGTGGAAAATGAGCGATAAAGGACGTTCCTTTATTGATTCATAATGCAATCACTTAATTTCATGTCTTTACGATTATTTGTTTCGAAGCTGGGACTGTAAAAAAATTGGCAAAAAAAGTTGTCATTTTGACAAAAAAACATGAGATTATCATAAATCAGTCATTTTTATACACACCCTGAAGTAATCAGACAATAAGCAATAAGTGCACATAATACTGCTCCAAACGCACAATTGAATAAAAGGGACGTGCGCCTTTAAAGAAACTAGTCTGGGTAACTTTGAAAGCGAACACAAGATCTGCCTTAATCCAAACTCAAGTCCATGATGCCAGTAGTATCCATTTCCAATTTTTGTCACTATAACTGCTTGGCAAGTTTTGAGAAGAGTTCTAGGGTCCTGAGGAAGGATATTCGGTGTTCTATCATTTATGTGTTTAAATAATGCTTTCAATGCAGAGTGAGGGATATTAAAAGACACCGCCCAGGTTCTAAGACTTCTGCGAAACTCTGCATCCTTTTTTGTATCAGCTATAAATATTTCTTCAGTAGGTTCTAATTCCTCAAGCCAGTTATCTATTTGTGGTTCTGCTGATTCGTCTTCTGATTCCTTAGCAGTGTTGATTTTTTCATCTTCTTCACCTTCCAGTGCAATGCTGTTAAATGCAGGTTCTGTATTGTTGAGGATTGATCGGTAATAAGTTATCTTGTTATTGGGATTGGAATTACTCGTCGTAATTCTTTGTAGTATGTTTTTGTAATTGCGCATGATTTCTCTGCGGGATGCGCCACTTCTTTTCAGTTCCTTCCACGTACTAAAGTCTGACATTTTGAAGTTTTCACAAATTTTTAGGCATCGACTTAACCTCAAAATAAATAAACAACACATTAAGTTCTGATGACGTTGTATACCCGCTATATTGAGCATCAATTTTATTTCAGCTACAGCAATTATGTACAATAAAAGGTGCAATGTTGTTGCCTTTAGTGGTTACTAAACGACAGTTATATAAATGCTCCCATTAAGAGCAACTTATCGGCTAAAGCTCAGGTTTATTGTATAAATGCTACAAAGCATATCACATTACAACTACTTTGACCACAGATCCAATGTGCTGTATAGAATAGTTCCATAAGCCTTTATGCAACAGCAATTAAAGCACCCCAAAACAGCAAGGCTAAGGCTTGTTGTGTAAATGGTATAAAGGGTGCTACAATACAACTATTTTGACTATCGAACAAATATGCTGTATAAAATGGTTTTATAAATGTTTTTGCGACAGTCACTAATTTATCATATAAGGTGTTGCATTACTGTGTGTTACAAGAACGTTGTAAAAACCTCATTTTAAAGCATATGTGCTGTAGGAAGCCAAATTGCAGTTGATGTTCGGACAACAATAAAAGAGAGCTCTTACAGTTTTACTGTTCTTTTACCAAAAACTTATAGCACTACTTTGCTAGTTGAGACACCAACGCGCTTTGCTTCTCAGAGCTCTCTTCCACGATGCCGCCACGCGATGTGCTTGCCAGAGAGACCCGCCTGACTTTGACCTCCCATCCTAACCGTGTTGTGTTCGTTTTCGCAGTCAAAAACATTGTTTCTCGGAGTCCCTCAGAATCTCTTTTTTTTGTTACCAGCAATGAAGTTTTTTATGTTTTATTTTTTAATATTATTACACTAGCCAATTATACATGCCATGTACTTATTTTGTTCTCATTTAATAAAATATTGCCTCTTTGAGGATTTCTGAGCATTTTCCGGCAATAATAGGATAAATTCTGAGGTTAAAAAATGACCAGCCCAAATATCGTTTGCGCCCCCCCCCCCTAGACGAAATCCTGAATGCGCCCTTGAATGGGTGCGAGTTACAGAACTTGCACGTGTAGGTACCTTTCACACCCATTTTTATTACTTATACCATAAAATTTACTTTCCTTTCAATTTTCAGGTGACCTGCCGCCATTCTGGTTGCTTTTGCTTGCCATTGGTCAGGTGTATACGGGTGTATTACATTAGTTACTTTGACTAGGTCAGCCGGAGAAGACGTCGTACATGGAGATTTATCATGAGCATTCTATTTGTCTTACTGTCATTTTCGAAAAGGTGCTCATAGCTCACCCGGGGAGACTGTAAAATTAAGGCATTTTACATAATGAAGAAGATATCAAAACATCTGGAAATGGACCGAACCATCACAATCCAGTGCCGAGTGCTTGCAGGTTTTTGGGCCAGTCTGAACAAAAGAGGTGCTTTTCGAACCATGATTTACAGCCTTCTCTTGAGAATGGGGGAAGCACCGCATAGGGGCACATAAACACACAAAAAGGGTACTCGTAGAAGAAGAACATATGTTCGAATAGAGATGTAATAAAATGGTATAATCAACTGTGGTAGAGATTCAAAACATCAAGTAAATTACAGTCGAGAGAGTTTTTTTGGTATAGCTTTCCTTATCGGTTGCGATGGTTCGTTCCACCTCTAGATGCTTTGACATCTTTTTTGTTATGTAATCTGTCCATATTTTCTTATGAAATGCACAAATGTGACTTCATTGTACACGATGTATGCACTTCTCCATCGCATAATATATACAATCGAAAGCAGAGCTATAGTCCTTTAGTTGTTTTATATCCTCTAAAAATAAGTTTTTAAAATTTGAATACCGGTACAATATACCCGACTTTTCCCTACTAAGAGTCAAGTATCTATATTTTTGAGATTCCTAGATGCTCCTAACAAGACATCTGCGTCCTAGAAGGCCAGCTGTCATTTTTTTGATCGACCTTACAATGAACCATTGGTTTTCCTGAACTGAACCGAAATGAAAATAAAGTTGAGTATCGCACTAAGACGGCGCGTGGATCGCTCCGTGCCTCCAGTATAATGCCTCCAAATGTTGAGAAAACCCCTTTTATAATCATTAAATGAACATTCTTCATAATTGCTTAATAAAATCAGACAGAAGGAAGTTCTAGATTCTTACTACCAAGAGATGATTTGAAACTTGCATGTTTGAATGCTTTGACCGATTTGTACAGAATTGTACCGATGATATGCGGCCATGGAGGAAATTAACAAAATCTTCCTAATTGTTGAGACAAAGTTTATGATCATCGAAGCTTCTGATGATACTTTAGCAGTAGCAAGAAACAATTGTTGGTAATCTACTATGAATTTAATAAAGAGCACGTGATACACGAAATGAAAATGTATTGTTGACATTTACTTGCAACCGATGCGAGTATGGAAGCTGTTTCTAGATGGAATGCCCAAGAAGTTCTTTAGTTTATTATTAAATTGTACCCGTTGCCCTGTATATCATTGATATTACAATGCTTTTGACTATTTGCGTTTCATTAGCAATGTGAGGGAGGTTTTCCTGAACTGAAGATTTTAAAAACATATCTCCGTTCTATAGCGAACCAAAACGATTGGTTAATTTATCCATGTTATCAATTTAAAGGAAGCTTTCAAAAGAAATAGGATTTAATGAGCATATTGAAAAGTTTAGCATTTAGGCACAAATACGTTTATAACATGCAGTTTTGTCTTCTGAGTAATAAAAAGCTGTCTGATATTTTTTAAAGATGTACAAATACATATACGGATACATTCTGTTAAAGAAACTATAATTTTATTGGAACTTATTGTTGTGTTGTTGATAGGAATCGAAGATTTTTTAAGAATAGTCCTTTTCGTTTTAAGGCATGTCATAATTACCACTATTTCACTCATCCTTCTAGGCTTGCAAAATTCTGTAGCCCACAACTATAATACCTAAATTTAAGAATATAATTTTTTACCCAACATAGAATGATCAATTTTTTTCTTTAGTATTATAGCCGACCACTCGGAGTAAAACATCTAAAAAATAGTAGTTTTGCTGTGAGCTTCTATTATATTTTATATGTAATAACTACGGGAGCGACTCAAAGCCGCGTCAGTGTTCTTCAGTTTGGTGAGCGTAAGTGTTAGTCGAAGGAATATGCCATCGCATAGCAATAACTCGGACTTTTAAATATTTGTCGGACTTACAAAGGGCATGGCCTTGAGCCCTATGGATAAAAATCAAGTAAGTGCTTATAAGCATAAGGTAGAATAAAAAGTAGATGCTCAAAGAAAAACGTAGAAGCAAAGATTAAGATTCTCATTTACAATACATGTGAACAGTCTAGTGCTCTAATAGCAGTCGGAAATTAGAACTTGCTCGCCCACAGTTCTTTAGCTTTCATTATAGGATGACGACTTTCAGAAAACTGAATACAACGATTAGCCTATAGAATAATTTTTTTACCACTTATATCACCAGTTTCAGAGTGCCAGAAACAGTGGGCTGCCCAATGCCTAGCTCATTCCCTGTTTTGCTTTGAAAACCTGGATTTGAAAAATATCTTAAACATACCTTTATTCCGTGAAAAGCTGCCAATGCGCCACCACGCCGTTCTAAACGATCGCATAGAAAGTTCTGAGCTAACAGCTCCGCATTTTCCCCTTCAAACCGCAACGTACTTTATAAAATTACTAGTTGGCGGTGGGAGCCCATGCTTTTAGTATTTCACATTTCAGAGATTTATCAACCGTGGTGCAAAAAAACCAGCAAAGCCTCTAAATAACAGGCTCTGATCCTACAAAATAGCAGCATCAGTATTCCACAAATAAATATTCGCCCTTTTAAGTAAAATCATTTGCTAATAATTTTATTAATTCCCCTTAAATCATTTACTTTGAGTTTTGCAAGTGTAAGCATTTGCTCCCTTTTATTCGTATGATCCCTTACATGATTTATCTCAATAAGAATAAAGTAGTAGATATACATTATTGAGCTAGATGGTTAACATCAAACAAGCAAAAAAACATTTGCAGGAACAAGCTTTATTTAGCCGTTCATAAAAGGCAATAAACACTTAAACATATTTTTTTCGATTCGAATTTTGTACTTCTTAACTTGTAAATGAAAATAAAGCTTCTTTGTCTCAAGTTTTCCAATGAAGGCTTGTTATATTTAACAATATAAACATAAAAATTCAGACACTGCTTTAGAACTGGAGGTGACATTAAAAAAATTGTGAATTCGTTAAATGATAATAAGCTCAAATTATACATTAATAAAACAAAATGTATGTCAATAGAGAAACATTTTGGTTACAATACAATTAGGCTCATGACTAATAATGAAAAAATTGAAGTAATGGAGTCATTCAAATATCTGGGTATGTATGTGAATAGTAAACTATTATTTGAAGAACATTATGAATACTTTATTTCAAAAATGTCAAAATATAAATTGCTTCTATTGAATTTCCTCTAATCTCAGTATGTATTCCAAAAAAAATTGTGTATAACACTATAATTCTTCCCCATTTTTTATAATGCTCAACCAGTTTGTTTACAGCAAATTTATTCAAAATTACAAATTCTACAAAATAAGGCTATGAGAATCATTTTAAATAAAAACAAATATGCTAAAATTAAGTTCCAATTAGTAAGACTACAGTGGTTGAATCTAAAAAAATATATTATTTACTTTTCATGTTCATGTTCAAATTAAAGAATCATGTTTACCACTACATTAACTTCACAAAATTAAATAGTCATCATAACTACGAAACTAGAGGCAGTTAGATTTTCACTTACCGACTTGTAATAGTAGCAGCATAACTAGCAAATCCGTATTCCAAAAGGGGGTATTTGAATTTAATAAAAAATAATATTGAACAGCGTTCGAATTTAAAAATGTTCAAGGAGAAACTAAAAAATCGCTTTATGAATACCCAAAATGCGCGTTAACATAATTTTAATAAACAAGAATGTAAAATTACAAAACA